ACACCCTCTGAGACTCAAGACCAAAGTCTGATGAAGTTGAGGAGGATAAAATAAAATCTTCACACATATTTGCTTTATTGTGTATTTCTTTGGAAATTCAATTATCTGTTACAGTGCATCAAAACTGCAAAAACATTCAATACAGAAATGCAGTTCAAACATTAAGAAAAAAAAATTGAAAATGCCTCCACAGTCATAGTTTGCCACTACATACAAGTATGTAGAAGAAATGGCACAGTACAGTATGTAGTTTATCGAAAAAAAAGTCATGAAAAAGTCATAGTATACTATGTCGATAAAAGTAATGAAAAAGTTATATTATAGCATGTCGAAAAAAGTCAGAGAAGAGTATGTCGAAAAAAGTCATAATAAAGTCATCGTATTGTGTGTTGAAAAAAGTTTTAAAAAAAAAGTCATAGTATAGTATGTCGATAAAAGTAATGAAAAAAATCATACTATAGCATGTTGAAAAATGTTATCGTATAGCATGTCGAAAAAAGATACCCACTGGTAAGTATCGAACCCAGACTGAATTTGGCTGTGGGGTAGCGACGCTAACCACTAGACCACCTGTGTATCATGAAACATTCAGGGTGTGTCCTCATAACATACTGATTATTTGTTAAAGGATATCCTGTTCAGTTGTAACAATAGTAATAAAAAAGTAATAATATAGTATGTCGAAAAAAGTTAAAAAAATTCATATAGCATGTCGAAAAAAGTCAAACAAAAAGTCGGTCTACTTTATCAAAGAAGTCATAAAAAGTTATCTTATACTTTGTCGATAAAAGTAATGAAAAAGTCATAGAAGGGAATGTCGAAAAAAGTCATGAAAAAAAAGTCAAAGTATATTATTTCAAAACAAAGACACCCACAGGTAAGTTTTGAACCCAGTTTATTTGGCAGTGAGGGAGCAACACTAACCACTACACCACCTATGTATAAGGCAAACTCTAGTCATGACACATTCAGCGTATGTCCTCATAGCATATTGATTAATTGTTACAGGATATCCTATTCAGATGTAACAATAAAAAAGTAATAGTATGAAAAAAAACCAGCATAAAGTGTGAAGAGTGTTGCATGTGATAAAAAAAGTCGTACAAATTTAATTTTAAAATGTCATGAAAAGGTTATCAAAGAGGTCTTAGTATAATATTTCATTTGAATTCATTAAAAAGTTATAGCATAATATGCAACAAGAAATACATAAAAAACTGACTATAGTATGTCATTAAAAGGTCAGTTTCTAGTAGCTCATTAAAAGCCATTCTATGGTATATACCGTTTCAAAAGATATAAGAAATTCATAGTATATACGTCATAAAAAGTCACAGTATAGTATGTCATAAAGAAGTCATAATATCAACTTCATATGACATTTTGTGACATATTATGATATTTTTGCCACATTTGAATGGCATACAATGAAATTTGTATTCCGTTTTTATAGCATACTATACTATGACTTTTTAGTACATTTTGGAAGCACCCCTTTATACATCAAGAGTGTACATCCGGTTGCTGATAGCTTTAAAGTCTGATGCTTCACATCCAGAGTCTGAAAAATATTAAAATTTCACTGAGACAACCTCACTGTCTCACAAGACCAACGGCAGTATTTCAACGGCAGTTCTTACACTGAAGTCCTCTTCCTGCTTTGAGGTGAAGAACAATGAGGGTGTTGACGAAGTCTCACAATAGACGAGAAGGAAGTAGGAGTACAACATGACTTAGCTTTGGTATATCTTATCGTGTTGTTATAACTGAAAAGGCCATGAAGATGAGCTTGGCATGCATTCTCATTTTCATTCAGCTCTTTGAAGGTAAGAAAAATGTCCACTTTTTACTTCCGAAAACTGTAACTGCTTTATTCTGACATTAACTTTTTTCTCTCCCGTCTAATACAGCGATTTGTTTCTCTTTACTGGGAGGAATATCCGACCAGTTGTGGTGCTTTGGACTGACCAAAATAGCTATGCTGCTAGCATGACTAAAGACTGTCATTAACTGTGTATTTTTGCTAGAACTTTAACTAGAAACTATTTTTGTTTTCTCCTCCAGCCTATGCGGAGTTGCTCTTTAAGCAGCTGACAGAGAGCCAGTCACTAGAGCTCTCCTGTTCCCCTCAGCAGGAGCACAGCACCCTGATACGCCTCCACCTGTACCACCGCAGTGCCCAGAGCCAGACGACCCTGCTGTCCATGGCCGAGGGTGGCGGGCTGAGGGTCAACACGGACCACGGGGGCCGTCTGCAGCTCCGTGGAGGTCTGGACTCCCTGCAGGTCAATGTGACCGTGACCCTTTTGCAGCGCAGTGACACGGGACTCTACGTGTGGGAGCTGAACTACAGAGTGGACAACAGCTCTGATGAGATCAGCCTCAGTGCTCCGAAGGTTCTCTTGTTGGTTGAAGGGACAGGTATGTGGTTCAGACACCTCACAATACACTCTGCTGCAGTTAAAAAGTCAAGTACCTCTGTGCAGACTGAAATGTGTCTTGGTGTGTGTTTGTGGTGCAGGGAGGTCATGCCAGTGCTCTCCCAGTTACCCTCGTCTGCTCCTGACTATCTTTACAATAGCGGGGCTTCTTCTGCTCACACTCAGCTGGCTGGTCGTAGAGAAATGTGTAAGTGTTCACACTTCTAACTGAATTGTTAATTTCTGATGTTTTTTGTTACGTGAAGCAACAATGCACCTGTGTTTGACAAACAGTACGCCTCCTCCTGTTCCATAATCTTGCAGTATAGTATCTGACTGATGCACTAGTTTTTCAGGCTTTTCAACTGCTGTAAATCAAAATGAAGTGAGTCATATTGAGTTCAATACCAATTAATGTGTCAGCTTTAATAGAGGCCTGCCAGACATCTGTTTGAGGGAGCTAGTTTTCAAGGCAATTTATGTAAATGATAATTACTGCTGGGACTGTTGGTGCATGACTCACAAACTGACATTATGTCTAGTGGCAAAGGGAAAAGAAATCTCCAAATCAATATGAAATGACTGAAAACAGTCATCAAATGTGGACTCACATCAGTACTGACATACAATATATCTGTCAAGCAACTGTGCAACTGTACAAGCTAAAGCCTCAAAAATGACCATCGATGTCAAAGCTGTAGTCTTAACAAAAAAAAAACATTACAAACTTCACTTAATCACTGTTAACTTCATCAATATTGTGTTATATTAGACTGTATAATCCCTGTATTGTGTGTTATTGTCCTGACTGGGCCTAAATAACCCTGAACTTTGACGTTCTTTTTGCTGTATATATTACTATACATCTACTGTTACTCAGAACATGGGTTTCAAATCGTCAGCTGTGGACCCGACCTGGTCCCAAAACATGTTTAGAATGAATTGTTACATCCAACACACATAATTGGAGGATAAAAACTATACGTTTCTAAACCAAAAGAGAGGTTGACCTGGAACACAGACAGTTACAAGAGGGTTGAAAATGTATTATATTGATTAAATATATACATATATGTGACCACCAAATTCTGATCAGTTAAATCTTGTTCTGTGTTGTACTGTAGGTGAAGGCGAGGCATCATCACAGACCACAACCTCCGGTTCCTATCTATGAGGAAATGACCACGAAGCAGCAGAGAACAGGAATCCCCCAAAATAACCCCGAGGTCCCCTCAGACCTGGAGGAAGTCAACTTCCCCGTGTACGCCAACCCAAACATCCGCCAACCACAGGACAACTACTACGCCTGTCCCAGACAGCTCGCCCTCAGACCCTGATGTGACTTCCGGTGCAGCAAACATTGACAGGAAATGACACCAGCTCTGGGAGCAAGAGGTGACTCTCCTCCAGGACATAAAAAAAAAATAAAGATGTTGGTTTGGTGGAACGAACAAACTCCAAATGGCACATTTTTAACAGCCAAGAAAAAATTGCTATTTTATTAATATTTGAAAGAAGCTCCATAGTTCATGAAAACATTTGTTTCGGTGCATGTCATTTAACAATCACATTCTATGAGGAAAAAGAGATATACAGAGAGAAAAAATAAAACATTACAAGCCACTGACTTTTCATTAAATCTCAGTACAGACATTTTTCCTTAATACCCCCCGCCCCCCCAAAAAAAAGGCAAAAAAAAAAAAAAGCAGAGAAAAAAGCAGCCCTAATCCCACATCACCCACCCCGCCCTAAAAAAAAAAAAAAACTTAACTGAGAAAAAAACCCTTGAGGGTGACAGGCTAGAATCCCACAGTGCTAAAGAGTGAGACGCTCATTGGTTTTAGGAATACACAGCATGGCGATGTAGCGCTAGGTCAATCTGAATCGGGGGAAGGAAGCTGGAGGCAGAGGGCTATACATGAATCACCTCCCCCTCCACCCCCTGAAAAAATAAAGTAAAAACACATTGGATCCCAAAAACCCCGGCAATAGATCAGCCACTTAGAAGTAGGCCATAAAATCCCCATCTCCTCCCCCGCCAAAAAACACTTGTGCATAGTTTCATGATCCTTTCCAACCAGCTCATGTTTTACAAACATCCTCCAAAATGTGAAAAATGTTCCACAAAAGTCTGATTTCTCTATTAATAATACCCGCTGTGGGAGAATGAGAGAGAGATAGAGGAAAGAAAGAGTAATGCACAATGTTCCTGATTCAGTCAGGACGGGACCTCATTAAGAAAACACATTAAAGATTCAAACATACAGCATTTTGCATGTTATTCACTGTCTTTTTTTTTTTTTTAACAATCAAAATCATTGACCTTTTTCCTTTTTAAATGTAAAGCAATTTTAATATATAGATTTATATATAAAGCACTCCATTTTCATTTAAAGTCCATTATTTGGTTATTATGTAACTGCTACGGATTCTCTTCTTCTGAAATCCATAACTTTCAGTGCTTAGAATTGTTTCTTTTAAATCTTCCATTTTTTTTTTGACTCATCATAAAAATGTACATTAAAATGGCGTGGAGTTGGTACTCTGGAACCCTGGCCTTCCTGAGACAAGATCCACTTTTTTCGTGTGTGTGCAAGATAGTGAGCAATTATGTCTTTTTTTTCTTTTCTTTTCTTTTTATATAAAGGAAAAATATATATAATCAACATAAAACATACAGGCTTCAGATAGTCAATGAAATCAACATTAACACAGAACAAAGAAGGTTAAACAGAACAAGACAACACTGTTCAATCCCAGAGTTCTGAAAGTAGCACAAGAAATATTCATTCTTTGAAGTGTTGTGTTGCACCTTTTTTTTTTTTTTTTTTAAATGGAAGCATTTGTCCTTTTTATTTTTCCAACATCCCCATGGTTTAATTCCTTTGTGTTGCTGATTTTTTTTTTTTGAACTCCAGAAATAAACAAAGTGTTTGTAAACTGTCGGTGGCCTTGCAGGAAAACAAATGACAATATGAGTGAATTGAACATGAGTGAAAACAGAACGAAAGCTAACAAACCAAAAAGGTAGGCACCTCTGAAGTGAGCCCTAGAAGCCAAGGCTCAGTCTGATGTCTTGTCCTTCAATCTCTCCGTTGCTCAGATTTGGGAGAGCTGAAGTCCTTCTACCCAAATCTATGGCCACAGGTCTGCAAAATACTTTGTTTTTGCTGATTTTTTTTTAAATGTTTTTTTTATACATATGTGATTCTTTTTTTTTAATTTTGTTTTTTTTTTATAGTTTTCTTGTTTTTTTTCCTCAGGTTTATAGTCCGAAAAATGGTGCAATACTCAATTATGATCCATACTTTCTTGGATTATTCCACAATGAAAGCCACTAAGGTAGATAAACATTACATTTTAAAAACACACTTATTTTAGTCCTTGAGTAAACATTTACACGTGAACTGTCCCCATCTCCCCTCAGTACTTGTATCATGTTGTTCGTTTAGCTGGATGAGGGGTGAGGCCGACACTCAGTGCAACGCTAGAGGCTAGTAACAATTAACATCAGAATATAGTTTTGACGAGCAAAAAGAAAAACAAAAGAAAACAAATCAACAACAAAAGTATACTGAATTGAAAAAGAACCACAAGGCGGAATTCCCTCCGCTGTAATCACGAGCTCTCACACATGTCGTCACCTCACACGCAAAACATTCATTCACACAACATACAGTACAAGCAGCCTTGTGCAAACACTCAAATACAACAGATGTAAATTTGCCTTTATATCGATCTTTGTTTTCAACAACACTCGTTTTTCAAATTTAATTCACTCTGAACCGATGCTATCAAAAAATCTCTGAAGTTCATGAATGAGACAAAAAACCACTACAAAAAAGTGTTCACATTACATTATTGGCGCTTCTTTTGATTCAAGTATTTGTTTTCATTATTTTGTATTACTCTGATATGTTTACGATCTCGTCTTCTGGGAAATATAATGTTGAGGAGGATACACAGGGTGAGGGCCGAAGCCAGGGCGGGGTTGTGGGGCTTAGGCTAAGTGGAAAACAAAGAGATCTAGCCATATACACACATACACCCATTATGTAATCTAGGTTGTATACATGTATGTTGTATATATGAACTAGCATGTGCATATTCAACCCAGGCCTTTGCTTTTGTTTTTTTTTTTTAAAAGAGTGATTTGCTAATTTAACTCTTTTTGGGGCCCCTGCCCCCAGACCCTCGTCTGATCCATGATTGAGAAGCATACATTTGCACGAGCTCCAGTTGCCTTTGAGTCTGTGTGACTTTCAAAAAGGGAGAGCATCTGATTTCCAACACTAGACAGGTAGATAAGAGTGCAGGCGTGGGATGTGGCGGGGCTCTCAGTGCTGGTGCTGCGCCAAAAAAAAAAAAAAAAAAAAAAATTCCAGGGCACATCTGAGACTTGACCTCCGTCCCAGTAACCCATCCTCCCACTCTAATTCGACTTCCGACGCCAGTTGCTTGGTTCAAGTCCAGTGTGGAGTTAATGCAGGTTTTTTTCTAGGAACGAACAAACACACAGACAGACAACACAGGCAATAGTGATTGTTTTGTTGAATGAGTCTTAAGCGACTCTGGAAGAGGGCAAATCCCGAAAGTTTTAAGACTTGGTACCTAACTTGAGGTTTGTCCCTATTTCTGCTGATATGTCGGGTCCCTGACCCCAAAAGCCAGATGAGCAGAAACGACCTGTCTTACATATGCTGGCACGACCTTCAGGTTGGAGGTCCAAAATGAACCACCTGGATACAGCTTCCCCACATGTGGCCCCGGAGAACGAGGCCAGACGGGGTGAGAAGGCGGCAGCTTGCAGGGGAACAGAGCACAGGCACCTCAGCCTCGGAGTGCACAGCTGAAACAGACTTATTCTTTTTTTTTTTTTTTTTTTTTTTTGTATTTTGTAGTTTTTGCGAAAAAACCTTGATGATAAAGAAAAAGATGTTTTTGGTTTTTAAAGAGATGTACCCGATGTGACCCATAAACAGTGCACAGACACATACAGGGACCACCTCCCCCCCCACTCCACCTCCACCTCCACCCGCAGCCTGGTTCGCCACTAAACTTCCAGTCCACTGTTGGTGAAACCAGCACCATTCATCTGTCCTGCCCTTCTACTCCTACAGCTGGAGCTTGTGGTGTACGCCGCTGCAGCAATAAAAGGAAACTTAAGTCTCATCCCGCTTAGGATAAATTAGGATATGGTGGAAGTAGATATTTGCAGATCAGTTGGCCCAAGACTGAAGAAGTGACTGTTTGCCAACCACTAGTGCCTCCATTAGTGTCATTTAGTAGCTCTGTCCACACAGTGGGAGACTAAACCCGGGAAGAGACTCTTTCAGTGTCCCTTATCTTTTAATCAAAGGGCAGGAGGGGGGGGGGGGGGGGGGGGTTCAAGGGAAGCTGCCTGGTAGTAAAAGTTGAGAGATAAGTGAAGGTTGGCAGATGTGTCGGTGGGGGGGGGGTGGCTGTGATTTTCTAGATGGCTGTGAACGAACACCTCCTCGTCTTTGCATAGAAATGGAAGGCTGTCATCAGTTGAGGTGGTTCTAAGTGTAACTGAGTGCTCCCAGAGTTAAACATAAAGCACCAGTGTGAGTGAGGCCCATCAACACTAAAGGATGTGTGTGTGTTATGAGACAACATAAGAGTGGAGGTGCCCCAGGATGGACAGAAGAAGTTGGCTCACTATCCTGGAGACCCTTTGACTACACAACCGTGCCCACCTGATTTGAATAGACTCTTTAATAAACCCCCTGTCGGGCTCTAACTCCCCCACTAACCCTTTTTTTCGACTGAGATCTGCAGTGTTTCGTATGGCCTTGCTGCACAGCTGAGGCGTACCTCTTCAATACACACTGCTTGTGCCTCGGAGGCAGTGGGAGGGGCAGGAGAGAAGCTGAACACTGCATAAAGACCATTATTTTAAAAAAGCCATGAAAACAATCATTATCTATATCATCAATTGATAACAGCAACAATATCAGCAAACTTCATGACAACAATCAAATCAAAATGCACACTGGCAATTCCATAAGTGAAAACCAAGAAAAAACAACAACACATCAAAACACCTCCATCTCTGGCTAAAGTGATCCTTGCAGGAGAGAGACAAAGAGAGAGAGTGGAGTTGGAGGTTGCTGAGGACAGACTCTGGCGCAGCAGTAGTAGTAAATTTATTACAGGTGGGCCAGTTCTGAAAGAGCTGCTCTTGGCCTGGAGGCCAGGGGAGGAAGAGGAGGGAAGCCAGTCTGTAGGGATCCGCAGGGAGGCAGCGAGCGAGGGGGAGGGCGGGGTGAGGGCTGCTGCAGAGCACTGCACTCTGCAGCAGGCAGGCACTCAGTGGCCACACTATCACACAGGTTGGCAGGGCCTCCAATAGAAAGAAGACAAAGAAGAAGAAAAAAAGGACGAAGAAGATGGCGATCATCCCTGCTGGATCCAGTAGAACATGAACATGTCGAGTGTTTCCAGACACCAAGGCTAAAGATTTCAAAGTATGCAATGTAACAGTGATATTTACTTTGATAAAGAGGGTGGGTGCTTTGGGGTCTTTCCCTGCTGCACCCAGCATCAGTTGAGTTAGTTCTTTCTTTGTATTTCCCTTCACTTTGCTACCATGTTTGACATCCTTCCTGGTCCCACCGACTTGAGGGAAGGATTGAAAAAAACAAAAAAAACATCTTCACATCCATGTCAAGTTAAAAAATAAGCATATAGAGAAGCCACTAAGCAGATTGCTTTTTTGTCTTTTTTTTTTTTTTTTTTCTTCAGTTTTTATTTGCCAGTGTTGCTTCTCCTTTCCTCTATCTGTTGGCATTAAGGGTATAACGAGCTGCGACGCTCTTGCTAAGTGCTATGATAGACCACCTATTCACAAATCTTTGCTTCAAACTTTTCTACCAACGCGAATTTGGGCAAAAAGAAAACGAAAAGGGGCATCTGGTCTTCTGGGGTAAAAAGGAAAACCGGCTCCTCTCATTTTGGTTTGATGCCTTCTCCCCAAGCGTGCACACACACACACACACACACACACACACACACACACACACACACACAAACACACACAGGAACACTCTCACACACATACACACCTGTCCCTCCCTCTCCCCCAAAACCAGTAACTGGCATACGTGTGGAGAGTAGGCTGGCTGAAGAAGTGCTTTGTGTGTACCTCCTTGTATCTTGGATAGAAGGTGGCTGAAGACCAGCTTGCTGCTCTCCTGAGCGCACACACTCTTGGGGGGGAGATGAAGGGTAATAGTGGCAGTTTTAGGGGGGGGGGGTGAAGGGCAGATAGCGTTTTTGCAGTTCAATCATTCTTTACAGTCTCCTCTCTTTCCGAGAGAGGTCATGGTAGGGAGCTTGGGACGGTAGAGTCTGTGGCTTATATTGCACGTCACTTGAAATGGTGGGGGAAAAAAAAAAAAAAAAAAACACACCAGTGGGGAACATTTACGACTTGAGGTTTTCCACAACATCAGTGAGAGGGTCCGAAACTGAGACCAAACTGCGAGTTGCCCGCAGATGAGTTGAGGTGCATTGAAGTGTTTGTCTTTACAGCTCCTTAGTAAGAGCAGTGGTTCATTTTGTCGTCCATCACGTTCCATAACTGTACATGTGACGACCCAAAATCCCCCCCCTCCCCCCACCGGGTAAGATTGACAGACACATTTGAATAATATCATTTCTTAGCTTGCAATGATTTAAGAAGAAAAAAAAAAAAATACAAAAAACAATGGCTTGAACACGGCGAACGGAGTTGCATCATTCCCTTTTGAGCATTGTGTTGGGGAACTCAATCTGCTTGCAAAAATGCACTGAAGTTGTGAGCTGCGGTTGCTTACGTTGGGCCGCAGCAGCGTGTACTCTCCACTCAGGTTTCACTGGCTCAGAAATAAGGGTGTGCAAGTGTCCGTATGCTTCTTCACCAAGTACAGAGTGAGTGAGGATAGCAGGGCAGGAAAGAGGTTAAGGCTAATATTAGTGCTGAGAGAAACAAATGAGTCTGGACCAGCTGAAAGTTCGACAACCACTCTGATTGAAGGGTTTTACTTTGGGAATGATGCCTTTTCGTGGATCTCTGAGGTGCAGTATGATTGCCTGAAAAGGCAAAGAGGGATTATGCAAGTTTAAAGATGGCAGCTCGGCATCTCGTGTCAGTTTGAACTAAAGTACACAGCGGCGAGTTCCCACAAGTTCATTTCTGTAAAAAGTTCTCTTTCTTTGTTGAATGAAAGACTCCTTCCTGTGTCTCCAAATGTAAAAGCTGAACACTGTGACCAAAAATCTCTCACCGAGATTCACAAAAGAACTGCAACAGAAATGTCATTAAAAACAAAAAGGAGTAGAGGATGTTGGCGAGGGTGAGCAGCGAGGATGTAGCCTCGCCCTCCTCTTGTCTCTCCTTTTCACCGTTACAGCCACACTGATTATCTCCACAATGATTTGCAAGATTTTTACTCCTGTTGGGTGTTTGTTGCAACTGGGCTCTTCCGTCCTACATGGACTCTCCACTCAGCAGGTCCCCAGGCAGCAGGGTATTGATTGGGGTGGGACTCCCCATGACCCGCCCCTCCTCTCCGCTCGGGGGTCCCCACAGGCTGGAATACTGCTGCACACCACCCCACAGCAACTCTCCCCCCGTCTTTGCTCCACCGGATCCCAGCCCACCGCTACCGCTGCCGTTGTTGTTGTTCCAGTGGGGCGAGTGGCCGATGGGATGGGAGGCTCCGGACCCGGTCCCGCCCATCCTTGTCTGATTGGCGCCCGGAGAGGCCTGCCAGCTGGTTGTTCCGCCAAGCGACTGGCCCTGTGCAAAGAAGCGGGTCACTTCATCTTCCCCAGCAAACTCTGCCAGGATGGTGGTGTTCCCGAGCACGCACCTGGACGGAGGTGAGAGGAAAAACACAGGTGAGTAATGATTCAAACTTCTTTAAAAATCAACTGAGCCAAATACTTCGAAGCATTTCATTAAGACATGTACATGTGCAGGGACTTCTGAGCCTTGGCAGCTTCATCCTTGGAGCTGTAGCGCACCACAGCGTTGCCCTGCGTCAGGTTGAGGTGGAATGTGATGAGGGGGCCGTGTTGCATGCACAGTGTACGCAGAGTCGAACCGTCAATCTGGGTCACAAACAGAAAGAGCAAGGCCGTGAGTGGAAGGATACAGTCCATTCTCTGTGAGGTCTAAATGCTGTATTGTAAACTGGTACCTGTGGAGTGAGGTTCCTTAGAACCAGCCAGCTACTGGTCCTGGTGGAGCTGTCTGTACTCCACGTGGTACCTGCTGTGTGTGACAGAGAGAGAGATACCAAGATGCTTATTATCAACAAGCTTGTCTAAAACTAAAATCAGTCAACAAAACTGCATGGGTGGAGTCGATTTCCACCCAGTGTCAGTTGACAGTTGTTCAACCACAACAAGATCTTCTTGAGTTGTTGTCAATCCTGCCTATACTCTCTACCTTCAGAATTGGCCTGTGGTTGTACGCCGCATCAAAGTGCAGCTTGGGCTACGAGTACACTCCTACTGCAATCTTCACAACCATGCACACTAACACGTTATGGCTCCATATTCTGACCTATGTATTTTCAGTTTTTTTTTTATGTTTACTATTTTCACATAAAGGATAAAAACATTAGCTTGTATGTCATATATGCAAGAATGTCTATTCATTCACTACCAATAAAAACAATAAACATGTTTAAATGTCTTGTGTAATCAAGTAATTATTGTGAGTAATAGAGGCACTCATGCTTTCTATTGACAAATGGATTCATCTGCTTGACTTCTTTTGTGAGCTTTGACTGATGATATATATATATATATCTATATATCTAT